TGGCAGAGGAGTATGAAGGAGATCACGAAACGCTTGGGTCCTGTCGGTGCTACTCGCCTTCCAGGATGGGGACCGCGTGATCCTCACTGTGCCTGGTTGGAGACACTACAAGATACGGCTGCCAACCGATGTCAGTGGCGTTCCTGTTGTCAGTTTCTATCCAGATTGCCTGAGTGAATGTCTGGAGGTGTAGGCACCTCGGAATGATTGTGTTAAGCTAGCACTAAGTCCCTCCCCCACCCACCTTTATTCTTTTCTTCACAATAAGGCTTTCAAAAAGTCATGGTTGTACGGCAGTGAAGCACCGGTGTTGAACACTGATGTCACGCTGTCGATGATGATGATCAACGAGCATAACGGTGTGCAAACGCACCGCCAAACACAGGTTACAAAGGTCTGGTGAGGAATCCACACTGCGAGCATTAAATCAGAGGGACGGGTCACAACCAATCATTGCATCCATTTTGACAGCTGAGACTACAATCAGCAATATTCTGAGTTTTACTCAAACTGAGCAGACAGTTTATCAGATAGTGGCTAGTTTGCAATAATGGGGCTGCGTTCTGGAAGGCTTGTTTATTGGTACTTCCATGAAATAAAACTGTGTGACCAAGTGATATGCTTTGACGTTGGTGCTGGAGTTCTCCCGGTAAAAATGGAGTCTGGTTTCTCAATACTACTGTCGTCGTGTCTAAGTAGTACACCGACAACTAACTCACCGTGAAGAAGCCTTTGTATCTTAATCCAGGAGTCAAAATGCAAACAATGGTTAAGATGTAAAGCAGAAGAAGATCGTTGATATGCCTGCCAACGAAGATCCCGATCATCAACAGGGAGAGAGAGGTAAATAAATAGGCGATAGGATGATTTGCGCGCAGCTCTTGGAGAAATGTGAAAAAGTTTATCACCAAATAGCGGGCATGGACCAAACGGCGACAAAATTCTCGGTATCGTTTTTGTGCTTCCAGTGGATGCATTTCGGGGGCGACCCTGAGGTGAGATGGGTTGTAGTGAGTAGTATGGTAATGAACCTTACCTGGCAGATAGAGTAGGTCCAATGAAATCAACAACACTCATGGTCAGGCCAAACCATCCTAACATGGTCAACACAGCTGGATGGAACATGCCAAGGAGCAGGAAAATGACAGAGACAATTAACAATATGGACACCAACAGGCGAGGACTTTCCCAATTCAATAAACCTTCGATCTTTAAAATCACCCCCGTCCAGTCACTCACTCAG